AGGAAGGCCCCATATCGTCACAGAATCCTTGCTTGGAGAAGACAGCCGCTGAGAAGAAAGCATAGAGGCGGCCACCTCCCACGGACTCAGCAAATGACTCAGCCAGCTTTAAAGATGGGGGAAGGGACCAGCAGCTAAGGACTGCCAGCAGCCACAGGAATGTGGAAAAGATAAGAAGACCCTTCCCCTCGGCCCCCAGAAGGCAACTAGTCCTGCGCACAGCTCAGCATTAGTGAGACTCGGCTTAGATCCCTGACCTCTGTGTGGTGAGATGCTGTGCTGTTACCACCTGGGATTTTGGCAATTCTTAAGCTTGCAATAGGAAATGAATGCAGGCCCACACTTGCCTACACCATCAGGCCATCCACACCCCGCTCCTAACCAATGGTCTGTGTGAGTCTAGAAAGGTCCCTGGTGCGTAGAAAACTCACTGCTCCCTCCTCATGGGCCTTCTCTTCTCCTCCATGCCTCCTTAGGGGAGGAGGAAGTGGGACTTGTCTAACAGCTAGACTTTGTATAAATGAAGGGACATACTATGCTCAACCCTTTCCTTCTGGGAGTGAGCGGTTCTTCCAAGGCTGGCCTCCACACCAGGTGACCACACCAGAAAACTTACCCTGCCTACAAAGAGCTAGAGGAGGCTATCTCCTTGGGATCACCACCACTCAAGCCTTCCTGATCTCTGCCTTTCACTTTAACAGTCACAAAGATGCTGTAGCTAGCTCTTGCTGCCAGTGGTTTTTGTTTTATAAATTTGTTGGGGAGGGGGATATTATCTAATGGAAACCTCCTCCATTAAAAAAAATCCAAAAATAATACGTGCCTCAATGGATTATTATGAAGAACAAATAAGAAAACATGATGCATTTAAAATGGTACCCAGAAGAGAAGAGGGGAAGGAAAGAGAGGAGGAGGAAGAGGGGGAAGAATGTCCACACAGAAACGTACTGTTGATTGACAGGTAGAAGTCAGCACTGTTAAATACTCATTAAATACCCCTGACTAGACCTTGCCTGGTACTGGAGGACAGGGGTCCATGCAAACATTTTAACCCACCTCCTCTTCCTAGAAGATGAAGATCACACCAAGATTTAATAACTGATTGTGGTGACGGATGTTAGAAAGGACACAGCTAGTATGCCAACTCAGGTCATCAGATTCCAGAACCATACAGCCGAAGCGCTTAAGTGTAAACAGCAGGTACTCAGCAAATACCTGCTGATTCACACAGGAGCAGAATAACTGGAGAAAGGCTCTCTGGCCAGCAATATGTGTAAGCAAGGTGACTTTACAGCCAGAGGCACCAGCCAAAGCCAGGGAGAAAGTGAGCAAGCCAGGGACAGTGTGTGAGGGCAACATGAAAACAGAGTGAGAACTGAAGACCTCGGGCCTCCCGCTCTACACATCAGAGCCGCTCTCGAACACCTCCACAGCCCGAGAAGGGCCACTGACTGGCTCTTATGCGTCTCCCTCTCTGGTACAAAGCTCCTCTGGCACTGGAGGAGAACACGAGAGGACACTGGATGAAACTAGAAGTTAGCCGACTGGCTCGGGATGAAAAGGATCTGACCGTCAGCAGCATGCAGAGGTGCTGGACGATGGTGAGCCACCATCCAAAGGCTGTGGAAAGGATTTGTCCTCGGGAACAGACTCGACACACTCATCCATGTGCTCAGCAGACTCTGCTCTGACACCCACTAGATGCGAAAATGTGGGCAAATAAACACCCCGGAGGGTGTTTCCTCGTCTGTGAAACGGGGCTCATCCCCTCACAGACCTTTGATGATTACCCAGAATATTTAGAACAGTGCTTTCCACAACGTGGGTCCACATCAAAGAATTACTGACTTCTGCACGGATGCTGCTGTCGGCGGCAGTGATGGTTCCACTAAGAGGCCATTCATGGAGGATCCCTGCATACCAGGGACTGGCAGAAATGCAGGGGACACAAAGGTCCCCGCCTCTGTGAAAGACAATCTTCAGCGGAGGAGCCAGACAACAGACAAGTTAGAAAACCCAGGAAGCTCTGGTAAAGATAAACGCTGTCAAAGAGAAAAGCATGGTCCAGCAGCCAGTCGAAGGGAAACGCTCAGCATGAACACGTGGCTAACAAGAGAGGGACAGCGTGAGATGATGGGGAACAGGGCCTTACAGAAGGGGCCAGGCTGTCCCCTCCACAGCAACAAACGAACCCCGTGGAAAACGAAGACCTGAGAGCAGCTGTGAAGGAGAAGGACTGGCCCCAACGAGACACAGAGTTAGAACGGCAAGGGCACAGCAACCGGAAGTGTGGCTTCCGGACAGAAGGAAGGCAGCAGACAGACAGGTAAGAGCACCGAAGGACAGAAGGACAGAGGGAAGAAGGGAGGGAGGGAGGAGGGAGGAGAAGAGTGGAAGGACATTGGGAGGGAGGAAATCAGTCGGTGGGAGATCTAGAGAGCCCTGCCTGAACAAGACCTCAGTGAGGAGCAACGGTGGCGTCACAGGTCATTTCGGAAGAACAGATTACAGAGCAGACAGCTCAGAGAAAACTTTCTCTCTTTAAGACGAAAGTAAGAGGCTTTTTTTCCCACCCCAACAGGAAGGGACAAGTAAATACATAAAAAGGAAAGTGAAGCCCATATGTAAACAGAAAAAAAGCACCAGAATACTGAAACATAAAATCAAGAAAGAATTAGTAAGAGTTTAAAATGAAAGGCTTAGACCAAACAAGATTATTACACAAAATAAAGGATTTTTATTCAAGAGAGGCACGATAAACAAAGTTGTTAGACAATAACAGAATTAGAGGAGGTATTTTGCAAAGTCTAAAAGCAACAAGAGACTAATATCCACTGAAAGGAAGTTAAATAGATCTTGCTTTGAATAAGATGCTGTGACGGCTCATCAGGATAAGCAGCTTGCTGTCAAGACTGACTACCTGAATTCAACCCCCTGGACCCACATGGTGGGAGGAGACGATGGACTCCGGAAAGTTCTTCTCTGACCTCCACACCTGCACTACGGCATTCTCTCTCAGTCAGGGCCAATGTGGTCATTCATACACAATGACCAGAGTCGGGTCAAATTACTAAAAATGCATGGAAATAGGACACAAGATAGAACTAAAATTCAATGGAAAACTAGACAACAGTCATGGGATGGGGACTTTAAAAACATGATGAAGCCTATGCTTGAAAATAAAGAGAATCTTAAAGAAACTGAAACCTATTTTTTAAGTGAATGAAAATTCTAAAATGTAAAAAATAAATAAGAAGTTACTTGATAAGTTTAATAACACATTAGACATGACAAAAGAGAAGAAACATGAACCAAAAAAATCTGTCAAAAGAAAATATCCAGATGGGGGCTGGGCGGATGGTGTGAGCTCCTACAGTCCCAGAACCCTGGGGAGCCAGGAGTTTGAAACTAGCCTGGGCAGTGAGACCTCACAGCAAAAAGGAAACAATCTCCAGATGGAAGTACAGAGAGAGAATGACAGGAAAAAAATAAGTAAAGATATTTAAAAAAAACCACACCACAAAAACATGGTGAAAAGACTATGTGTGTAAACGGAGTCCCAGACCCAAAAACCAGAATGAAATAGAGTGAAACAAAATCCATATTTAAAGCATTCACAGATGATGATTTTCCCAAACTGATGAAAAGCATCAACCCTCAATTTCAGAAAGGTTGATCTGCTCCCCAAAAAATCATCAATGAAAACCACACTTGAGTGCCGCATCCAAACTGCTGGAAGCCAAAGGAAGAAAAATGTCCTGAAAGGGACTGGAAGTGGGGGGAGCAGCAGAAGTGCAAAGAAACCCTCACACTGTGGACTGACCCGCCACCAGCCCGGAAGAAAGTCTACAGGGACGGAAGGACCTGTGCAAAGAGACCACAGGAGAAGCAAGCTGAGACTCAAACATCAGAGATCCACGGCGGTGAACTCGAAACAATCACAAATCAAACCAACAGAAAGCAGAACAAACGGAATAATTCGAAGGGGCCCAAATTAATGAAAAAGCACACATAAAGTCAAAGGGGTTCCTAGAAAATATGATAGACAAGACGAATGGGGTGTGAGTGGACACACACACTCAAGTGCACAGGGGGTGATGGCAGATACTAATATTTTAATTACTACTAATTCATAATTTCAGGAGTGAAGCAGGGACATCACTACGGACCTTACAAACTTGAAAGTGAACAAACTGTATTTTAGCTGTGTAATCTGTACCAGTGACCTAAGTACAGATAAAAACTGTCAAAGTCCTTGAAAAACATAACTTGGCCAAACTGACAAAGAATAGAAATTTCTAACTGAAAGTATTTTGATTGAATATTTAACTTAAAACCCTTCAGAAGTCCTTCCCACTAATTCTACAGTGTTCTGAAGGAGACACAACATCAAACTTACACTTCGCTCTTCCAGAGAAGAGAAGGAGGCCAGCATCCAATGAGGAAGCGGCAACAGGAAAATGCCACCAGCCAGCCTCCTCCATCAGTCTACGCACGAAAGTCCTAAATAAGTTAGTAGCAAATTAAATCCAGTCATAGCACAGCCAAGAAGCTCGCTCATTCCAGGTGTAGGACTAGCTGAACATTCAAAAATCAATTACCTCAGAAACCCCCTGTGGCCTGTTATGAAAGACTGGAGGTAAAAATGGGGTCAAAGAAATAAAAGTAACACCCCCAAGAAGCTCTGGGGGCTGACTCGTCATTGAATGCAGGGAACTCCCCTTAGCCACACCATCCAGGTGTGCTCGGAGGAACCTCAACTAAAGCCTTCTACAGCTCGGACAATGGGAAGGGCAGAGAAGGCCTCCCCCCAGAACGTCAGGAAGCGTGACCTCCGGCTCCATTTTCTTCCTGGTTGATCATGATCCTCCGGCCTTGCTGGCTCGCAGTGAGAGCACAAGAAACCAAGAGAGCGCCATGAAAGTCATGAGGCTAGACCGTGTGCACCACCAGGTGGTGCTCGGTTTGGGAAAGCCTCCACCGTGGCTCTGCATGCTCACCTGAGAGATGGGGGCTGGCTGTCCTGCCGCTTGAAGGCTTTGTCCAGCTGCTCTTGGGTCACCCTGGGATTCCCACCAGGCAAGGACAGCTTCAAAGGTGCTGTGCTGGCTTCTGTGTGGCTGTACCCCAGCGGGCTGTCCTCTGAAACACTTCTTAGTCTGGGCCTGTCCCTGCGGGACAGCCCTTGGCTGCAGGAAGTGGCATTTGGCTTCTCCCTAGGCAATTCATTCAGCTGGCCCAGAGGGCTCCTGGAGACAGAGTCACTGAGGGAAGCAGGGACCTCCTGTGGACCCGGACAGGCTGGGGTGTGGACAAGAGGCTCGGATGACTGCTGGCTCTCCTCGGGGGCCTGGAGCTTCCTGCTCAAGGCTGAGGACTGTCTCAGAGAGCGTCTGCGGAAAGAGTCCTGGAGGGGTAAGGAAAGAGACAGTGAGCATCCTCGGCTAGGGGAGCTGGGAAAAATACATTCTTTATTCTTTGTGACGTCCCTCCCCAGGAAGATCTGTCCCCACCCCAACTCCTTCCTTTTTTTTTTTCTTTTATTGAAAATGACTTTTTTCATACAATATATTCTGATTACAGTTTCTCCTCACCCTCCTCCTTCCTGTTCCTCCCAAATCCCTCCCATCCAGATCTACACCCTTTCTGTCTCTCCTTAGAAAATGCAGGCACTAAGGAATAATAATAAAGTAAAATAAAAGGAGAAAACAAAACCAACAAATCAGAATAGAACAAAACAACCAAACAAGCCAAGGAAGAATCGCAACAAAGGCACATAGATGCAGGGATACACACAGGAATCCCACAAAACATATAGATGCAGGGATACACACAGGAATCCCACAAAACATATAGATGCAGGGACACACACACACAGGAATCCCACAAAACACACAGATGCAGAGATACACACAGGCATCCCACAAAACCCAAAATAATATATATGGAAAGGATCTGTAAGGTAAAGGAAGGAGGGAGGGAGGGAGGGAGGGAGGGAGAGAGAGAGGGAGAGAGGGAGAGAGGGAGAGAGGGAGAGAAATAGAAAATGCCCTGACTTAACATGAAACAAAGAATTTGCAAAGATGCCATTGAGTGTTATGTTGACCGTCTACTGCTGGGCATGGCGCCTACCTTTAAGAGTGGTTTGTTTCCCAGGGAGACTCCCTTGGAGAAAATAAGTTTCATCATGGCTAAGTTTAGGAGATGGGGGCATGTGTCCACTTCTCCTTTCAGCTTTAGGACCCCATCTGGCATAGCCCCACGCAGGCCCTGTGAGTGCTGCCTCGGTCTCCGTGAGTGCATATGGGCACCAGCCCAGCTGTGTTTAGAAGGCCTTGTTTCCTTGGTGTCCTCCATCCCCTCTGGCTTTTACACTCTAACTAACCACTGAGGCAGTGGATGGGGACTGCTACAGAGAAGCAAAATACACCTTGGGGAAGCTTTTCCTTGGTTCAGACTGCAGAATCCCTAAGCATTTCCAGAAACAACTCGGAGGCCATTGGTAGGCCAGACTGGAATAAGGAGAATTAATTTTGTAGTTTTCTGGCCTCATGGAAATGACTAGATACTATAAATCTGCTCCAAAGCTGTCCAGGGCATGGCTACATAGAAGGATGAAGACATTAGTCACCATTCCCAAGGAAACACATGTATAGCTTCTTACCTCATCCATGACTTACTAGTAAAAGTTGGTGAATACCCAGCAAGTCCTGAATCCTTTCTCTTGAACAACCAGCACACGTGGCCAAAATGCCAAAGACCTACCAGAACCTAGGAAATTCTACAGCAACCACCATTCAAGGTGTTCCACGGGATTCATATATCACAAGGGAAACCTCACTTGCCAGAACAATTACCAAACAAGTCTGCAGCGATGCCCTTACGAGAAGGTGGATCCATCACATCCTTCTCACCTGCACACACTGAAGGACTGAACCATCTCAACAGGAGCCACGACCCTGGCTGTACCACTGGTTCTCAAAGTGCAGTCCGCTCAACTGTTGAGTCCGCTCACCAGACCCTTTGGGGAGTTCAAAACAAAACTTAAAGTAACTAGACACAGCTTGAGTGTGTCCTCCATGGTCCGTATGTTGTGAGCCTGGTTGAGATGAAGGAAGCTACAAACGGTAGGGCCCAACAGAAGGTAACTGGGTCACACAGGCACCATCCTCTGACGGGATCAGTACTGATCTTATGGGACCAGACAAACTCCTACAAGAATGGCTTGTTGGAGAAGAACCTGCCACCTCCCCTCAGTCCCTTTTCATACACAGCCTGCCTCTCCCACATGCATCCTGCCATGATGGCACCTGTCGTGACATCAAGTGGACAAGAGACCAGAGTCTGAGCAGATAGGAAGGAGTCTTAAGTCTCTGAGCCTCCAAAACTATGACCTAAATAATCTGTTTATGTAATATCCATCCTCAGACACCTTGTTAGAGTGCCAGGCAACTGAGTGAAGCAGTACAAATAGGACCCAATTTGTCTTTTCACAGTGTGACTTCACATGCATAGCAACCGTAGGAAAAACTGCTGGCTTTGTACATGGATCTAAACTTTAATGAACAGCTATAATGCTGATTTAGCTTAAGAACAAGCCCAAGCGAAACTTTCATTATTAAGCATTCTTAACCCTATTCAGTCTAGAGTGCACAGCACACATCTTTTCAGTATCCCATGCAACCGAATGGGAGGTACTTATGCCCACTCGCCCAGTAAGAAGGATAGAGGCTACGGCTTGTGTAACCATCTAACTGTGAGTGAAGTGAACTTGCTGTTGTTGTCAAGGAATGGCAGACAGACCATGGTGATTCAGACTTGGAATTTGGCAGGCATTTCTTGAAAATAAACTGAGCTTGTCACACCAAGGGAAACAAATGCTGTACTGTTTCCAGTGATAAAATACAAAGCTGCAGGGTAAAAATCAGACATTTCGGGAATCCTACATCAGCCATCGAGAGCTTGGGAGCTTGGAGGGACTTAAAATTCCTGCAATCTTTGGAGGTCACATCAATGAATGTGTTGTTTTTTTATTTTTTCCATATAATAAAATGTATCCCCATTTAGAAGATCTGTATAACTCAGTAACCAATATATTTCAAATGACAAGTGCATCATGCATTAATCATACAGGCATAGAAGATTCACCATGCATGAGAGGCCTATGGGAACTGATAAAGTACAAAGAGCACAATGATGTGGTTTAAGGTTCCACATTAAGGGATGGGGATGTAGCTCCGTTTGATAGTGTACTTGCTTAGCATACATGAAGCCCTGGGTTCGAGTCCAAATACCACATACACCAGATGTGGTGGCACACACTTATAATCCCAGCAATTGGGAGCTGGAAGCAGGAAGGTCAGAAGTTCAAGAAGTCAGGGTCCAGTTTATGGATTTCCTTCTTTGACAAGACGCCTTGGGTGGGACACAGCACCAAGGTGTGGCATGGACCACACAGAGGGAAGCAGACTCTCACTCCTTCATCAATACACCAAGATGTGTGACCATAAGAATAGAGAATGCCAGAGGTCCTCAGGTGGTTTCAGATAGCCATCCAACATGAACCTCAGCCAAGAGAAATGAAAACCTTGATCAAAGGCGCCACGGGACTGGATGAGGCAGGGAGAGAATCCTGCCTCTTTGTCCTAACCCACAAGAGTTAAAAAATTAGTGCCAACAATTAATAAATGGGACCTCTCGAAACTGAGAAGCTTTTGCAGGGCAAAAGACAC